CTCCTCCAGTGCTGTACGTAGACAACAAGGCTATGCTGGCCTTGTGTCGGGAGCAGCGCTTGGAGCACAGAACGAAGCACATTGCTCTCCGCTACTTCCTTGCTCGTGAGTTGCAGCAGCGTGGTCAGTTGCGACTTGCGTACGTGGCCTCTGAGGCCAACACTGCTGATGTGTTCACCAAGGCACTTGCGCCTTGTGACCATCAGCGCTTCTGCACCCAGCTGGGTCTTGTGCCTGTCTTGCCTCACTTGCTCTCCTCTTGACTTTAGTTGTACTGTGACATATATATATACCTGCTCTTGCTTGTCTAGTTTTATATATATATGTCTGTACTCTTGCTTGTGAACTGGCCTTTGGCCTTGCTCTTGTGCTCGGACTGTGTGGTGACTTTGTGATCCACCCTGAGCTTTGCTTTGTCTTGCTTGACTGGTCTTGTGACCCCTTGTTCTCCCCCACTTTGCCTATGGGGGTGTGTCAGAACATATCTATAGCTTATACTGCTGTGTAGGCTGTAGTGGGGTATCCCATAGGGGGTACAACCCAGTTAGGGTTTCATATTTGTACTGCTTTCATTCATAGTTCATTCATTCCTGCTTACTCATTTACACACTAGTGGTTGGGATTCTGACAATATGTTCAGCCATTCCGAAGGGCGTCGGCTCGTCTTAGTCTAGGCGCAGTCGTGGCTGCACACGTTTACGAGAGAACGCAAGGACAGCAGCTCCTAGGTGCTAAGGTACGTGAGTCCCTTCGACTGAAAAATCAAAAGTTGATTTCTTGGGGCGCGGAGACGCGCGGTCCGAAAAGGAAAGAGGCTCTGAATACCAAGTGTTAAGGGTGCAATGAATCGAAGTAGCGAGAATTGCACTAAGGTGTCAAACGAGTACCAAATGTGAGCGAAGGCATGAGCGAACATTTATACGCGAAACATGCAAACGGTAACGCGGTGCGTGTGAGCTAGCTAGTGCTACGCTGGAAGCGAGGCTTGGGCTAGTCCCGAAGCGTAGGCCGACACGGCCAGGCCAGCAGTGCGAGGTTTGGTGAAACAGTGCGCGCGAAGTCGGCGAAGCCCCGTTAGCAGTAACGGGCGAACAACGGCTACTGCTGTACGCGATGTTGCAGGGTGCGCTAAGGAATATAGAGAGAATTCCTTACAGTTCTTCATAGTACGCGTCAATGAGATATTTCCAGGTGCATGCAGTTACACCCTGATGCTCACTCAACCGCCCACTCTGAACACTCCTACTGCCGCTGCATACGCCCAATGGTCGACATTCACAGCCAGCGGCCCGCTCGTTACTGTCCCACGACAATACCAGAATGTTCTTGACCTCGAATAAGTTATTTGAGTTTCCCAGACAAAACACTATGGGCTACCCACAATTATCGCGACTGCTCTACATTCAGTCACATTTTGCCCCTAGAGGGCACTTGCTCGAAAGAGGAGCACAAGGAAAGATGGGAAACGGGACTAAATTAGGCATCAGGTGTACAGGAACAAGGCAGTTGGATTGAAGTACGGTCTACATGTTGCACACGAAGGTCAAGTGGAATTGGTTCTTGTGTGACTAGAACGTACGCTTCTTTTTTCGGGAACTGGAACGACAAGGCCGTCTGAAATTGCTTGCTCAAACCCGACCCGTTTTAAGTTCTCGCACTCCTTGATTTTGTCTAAAATGCAGAACGAGCACGCTAAATGTCCGGAATTCAGTGCAAGTTTTGGAGCTTGAAAGCTCTGGTTGTCGTGTTTAGCCAGGTAAGCATGAAATGGTAAGCAATTCTACGGTAAGCATGAAATGTACTGATTAAATCTGGTTCGTTACGAGCCTTATCCCGATACCCCATTCCCATCCGTGAGTTTTCGAGCCTTCAGTTCCTGGGGTGTGGTTGGGTTGAGAATGACGTGACAAGAGTTCGGGGACATGGGGGGGTCTACCTGGGGGCGGGCTGGGGTTGATGATGGCTGATTTTCAATATCAATACACGTGATACTCGTTAACGCTATATCATATTTTGGAGCTGCATTGACTGGAATACACTGTAATATGCTTCAACCAGAATTGTTATAAGGATGAATATGCTTCCATCTATCCGGAGCACGTCACCAATTTTTTTCCGTATGTCCATTTGTTGCTATGTTTTTTTGTAGATTTTAAATTTTTGATAATATGTATATATTCATTTTCAGTTATTCCGTATATCTGTATTTTATAACAGTTTAAAATCATTGATCAGATCGAAAGGTAGTATATCACTCATTTACGAGTAGTATTTATGAATATTTTGTTTTATTATAGTCAGCAATGTGACAATTTTTAATTAAAAGTATGTAAATCCCTCTCGATAATACTATATATGGTGCATATGATGCTTTGACGCTTTGACTGCGTGTTTCAAAACGCAAACGGGAAATACGTGAGCTGGTTTTGATCCTGAAATGGTAAACAGTGTTTCGAACTTGGGGTGGTTGAACAGCTGCATTGCATGGCATCCCCCTTTCGAGAGGCGCCTTCCCTCAATCCACCGCCCGCCCTTATATACTTCACAGTAGCGTTGGGCTTTCACATTGGTGGTGAGTCGAAACCTTATCACAGGTGTCCACCACCACTGTTTACACGAAGTGAATCACCGATCACAACGGTTTCACGAATCTTGTTCGGGCAGCCATTTTGTGAGAAGTGTAGGCCTCACTATGTTATCATTGAAATAAGATAGATGTATGCATAAAGTTTTGTTGTTCGTACATCTAAACTTCAGAAAATGCTTTCAATGAATGCCCCACTTTTCCTGAAATTTTGTTTTCTGTGGCGGAAATTCTCCCTTCCTCCCATGCCACCATGCAGCAGACACAACCTCCCCTCTCCGTCATCCAGATCTGCAGATTTTGCACTCCAGGAGGAAGGAACGGATCAACATCTCGCCTCGCCTTCTTGTCCAGCATGGCAGGGGGAGGCTAGACAAGCTAGCCTTGGGGGTTGTATGTGTTGTGCAGTTCCTCACGGCAGCTCAGGTTCCATTTCTCGACCAATGAGAAGCCGAGCCATTCTACAACAAACTTCGCATCACATGCTGGTTCGCGTTCTCGTCGGCTCCAGCAACGGGGGAGGCAGGCTTCACCCACCAAACCAGCCCCCCACCTCCCCCCTAGCTCCGCCTCGCTACGCTCCTCTTCGCATGACTCATGAACCGTGACCCGGTAATCGTTTCGCTTCACGCCGTTTCGTTTCTGGTCGGGCGGAAAGGGGGAAGGGGAAATGGGCAAGTGGGAAGGGGGAGGGGCACGGGGAGATGAGGTCAGGATTCAGGAAGGGGGAGGTTTGACGAGCTCGTTCAGTTTTCGTCATTTCGCTTCTCCGCCCAAATCCGACCCAGCCCGCCCCAAATCCGACACTGCCCAACCTATTCCGTCCAGCCCCACCCAAGCAACTGCTGCTGACCTCTTCGCTCCACGCGTCACTCTCCTCCTTGTCTCCAGCTCGTTTCCTTCCCCCCTCCCCGCTCTTATACAAACACGAGAAGCCAAAAACAACTCCTATCAACGTATACTTGGTACTGATCCGTTGCTATTGATTTTTATTCTGAATTGGTACAGAGGTCCACCCACACTCACGACGCCAGCGCGGGTTCGAAGGGGAATAACGGAGTATCGCTTCGATTACTTTGCAGCAACGGCGATATCAACGCACGCTCAGCCGCAGCGTCAGGTGACGCCGCCTTTTCTGCTTCTGACTCCACTCCTTATGGAAAGAGATGGGCGCGGTTCGCGCGTCGGCGAAAGTGTCTCCTTTGTATCATCCACGATGCCTGTAAGTTTGGGAGATAACGGCTCGTCCTTATCGCAGCAGCAGCATCAGCAGCATCATCATCATCAGCAGCAGCAGCAGCAGCAGCAGCAGCAGCAGCAGCAGCAGCAGCAGCAGCAGCAGCAGCAGCAGCAGCAGCAGCAGCAGCAGCAGCAGCAGCAGCAGCAGCAGCAGCAGCAGCAGGAGCATGTCGCGGCGCGTTTGCCTCGTAACGGTCAGGGGGACGTGGCCGTTACCTGTTCGTCACCGCAACATGCGGGAGCTAACTCGCAGCAGCCACCATCTTCCGCCAATGGCTCGAGACCCTTTCAACAGGTAACAGAGAATATTATGCTTTTGGCCGGCAGCGGTGCAAGCTTATATCCTTCCTTGCCGTACCAATACTGCATCCGCGTGTTGTTCCCTTTAGATCAACATTTTTTTTTTCTCTTCATTTCGACAATCAGCAGTCTTTTTTCTTTATCCGAAACTACTTCGTTAGAGTCGTCCTCAGCCGCCTATCAGCCTTATTTAATCTTATTTCCTTTAAGTTAGGCGGTACGCTCCCGTTTTTCACATGTTGCCACGTCGTCTCGCGCCTATGGTAGGCAGACCCGCGGGGTTTCGCATCTTCGTCACGTCTCAAAATCCGCGGTCTTATTGCTATTAACGAATGAGTGTTGGCAGTCGTCTCGTACAAGTCTCAAGCAGCATCATTGTGTTGCTCCAGAGCTGCGCCAAGTGTTTACGAACCGTGCTGCGGCTCCCTCTCTCTTCCTCGTCTCGTCATCAGTGTTAAAAGTAGTGGTAGCAGTTTTACCTGTCCGTACCCTATTACCACCATCCACTCAGGTGCGTACTAGGCAATATTGGTAACTTCTAGCGACTTGATCAGTCCGGAGACTTCTGGCTTTTCGCCGTGTTTCGCTCCTGAAACTCGCCTGTCGCAAGTCTCAGCGTGGCCGAGCGAGACTTGACCTTGTCTCTTACCGCTGCTCCGCAAACGATTTCAGCAGCATTCGTCCCTGGTGCGGCGGCGAGAATCGTTTGGAGGGCGCGACCGGCCATAGGGTTACCACACGCGTGGTGCGACGCTGCACGTACGGAGTCGCTTGGCACTCGATCGCACGGCTCGCGTCCCGTCTAAGAGAGTCCCTCCCTTGCACCTATCCGATCTCGTATCCTGGCCCTTCCAACCATGTAGCCGCGTAGACGTGAATGGTCCTCACCGTCTCCGCCCGCGTTTCTCTCTCGTCTCCTGCTCCCCGTTTTCTGCTCCACGTCTCTCGTTCGCAGCCATTGGCGGAGCAGTCGCAGCGTGGGTATGCGACCGGCGGCGACTACGGCCGCGACAGCCACCATTCTCCGCAGCGCAACCAGTCGTCGCATCAGCCGCCGCCGGCGCAGCCGTCGAACAAGAATCGCAGCCCGATCGCGCGCGCTCGCCACGACGCGTCCCGCCTTCCCGACGACGCGCAACCCTCCGCACTCCCGGACCTCGCGGACCCCGACTCCGCGCCCGCCAGCCATCCGCTGCCCTTCTTCTTCCCCATGCGCCCCTCCGCGCGCGCTTCTTCTCCGCCTGACGGGCATGACGGGGGGGGAGGCGGAAGGGAAGGGGGGCGAATGGGGTATGGGATCGAGAATGGGGGAAGAGGTGAGGGGATGGGGGGAGATGGGAGGGCAAAGGGCGAAGAGGAAGAGTGGGAAGGTAAGGGGGGCGGAAGCGGTGTAAGCGTGGAGAGGGGTTCTGCGTGCACAAGGCAAGAGGGGAGGAATTGCAGTGATCCTGATAGGAGCGGTGGCAGCGGTGGTGCTGGTGCTGGTGGCGCTGCTGCTGCTGCTGCTGCTGCTGCTGCTGCTGGTGACAAGGACACTAGGCTCTTTTCCCACCAGCAGCATAAGTCCGGTACTGCTGCTGATGCTGCTAACTCCACCGGCCCCACCACCAGACCTGCTTCCGCTGCCCACGCTGCCAATGGGGGTAATGCTGTCAGCGGGGCCAACTGTGCTTCTGAATCGCCCTTTGCACCTCACGCACCACCGGGTCCTGCCTCTGCCGCTGCCGCTGCCTCTGCGTGTGCGTCTGCACCTGCCGCCGTCTCCAGCATGCTCGACATGTCGCTAGGTCTCACCTCCTCCTCGCCGCGCTCCCTGCTCCGCTTGCCCGCTGCCTCTGCCTCTGCCTCTGCCGCTTATGCTGCTGCTGCTGCTGCTGGTGCTGGTAGCGGCTCCCGTGCGACACCCCATGATGCGATTGCCGCTTCACCCCATTCCCACGCTGCCGCCGCTGCTGCTGCTGCTGCTGCTGCTCGCGGTGCTGCTGGTGGTATTGGTACTGCGGATGGCGGCGCGGCAGGTGGTGCGAGCAGCGAGGCTGCGCGCCCGTCCGCCTTTCCGTTCTCCAAACTCCCCTGGGCGCCACAACCTCCGCGGCAGCAGCAGCAGCAGCATTCGCAGCAGCATTCGCAGCAGCATTCGCAGCAGCAGCAGCAGCAGCAGCAGCATCAGCCGTCGCACTACGTGCAACAACCACACCACCACCAGCAGTATGACGAAAGAGGAGGAGGCGGGGATGGAGGAGGTGGTGTTGTGACTGTGATGGGGTTGGGCAGTAACGAGGGTGGACATGCACTGAACAGGTGGGTTTGGCGCGGTTCAGGAAGGTGGATGTGCGAAGGTGGATTCTTTCGTTCGTGTCTCTCGCTTGGGTCTTTCACTCACCCTGGCCATCCGTCACTCCTTTCGCCTCTCTGTTTTATCTCATTATCCCGCTTGACGTTTCTCGTTCCCCCTCTTTCCCTCATCCTCTCCCCTTCTCTTCCCCTTCCCTCTCACCCTTCCTTTCCCCTTGCGTCTTTTCCATTCTGCCTTCCTGCACTCTCCTAACTCTACCACTCCTCCCTACCCTTCCCCTCTCCGCATTGTCCCCTCCGCTTTCCCCCTCACAGCACCGACATCACCCCTCTCCACTACCCCTCCGCCTCCCAAATGCACCCCTCAGCACCCATCTACACCTCTCCCTCCACTGCCCCTACAACACACCAGCACCACCACCATCAACACAACCAACACCAGCAACACCAGCAACACCAGCAACACCAGCAACACCAGCAGCACCAGCAGCAGGAGCAGCAGCAGGCGCACGAGTCCTCCCCGCAGCCCCTCCCCCCGCCCCACTCCGCGGCCCTCTCCGCGCCCCCTGTGCCCTCGCCAATGGCCGCGGTGCCGGGCCCAAGTCTGAGCTCCAAGGCGCGCCGCTTTGTGCGCCGCGACGACCTCATCTGGGGCGCATTCTTCTTCTTCACGCATTACTACCGCCCTGCGCTCAATGACAAAGCCAAGGTGGGTTCGTGAGATGGGGAAGGCTGGTGGTTAGTTGTTGCGCTGGCCGCGACGACCTCATCTGGGGCGCACTTGTCTTCTTCACGCATTACTACCGCCCTGCACGCAATGATAAGGCCAAGGTGGGTGGGTTGGGGAGAGGAAGTGCTTTCCTGTTTGTTGCTTACACTCGAAGCCTTCTTTCTTGGGAGGCTGCTGCTGCTTCTTCACGCACAACTACCGCTCCGCACGCAATGGCAAGGCCAATGTAGGGGTAGGGGCCACAAAAGGACATGGGCAAGGGGGGTTGAAGGAGATGGGCTAGGGGGCAGAAGGACATGGGTGATTTGCCAGGTTGGGGTGGAGAGGTCGAGGTTTAACCTTCAGCCTTCTTGGGTCGTTAGAGGGAGGGGCAGCAAGTGGCAGGGAAGAAAGAAGCAGCAGATTCAAGTTTTGAGACGTCTCGAAAGAAGCAGCAGATTCAAGTTTTGAGACGTCTCGAAAGAAGCAGCAGATTCAAGCATGACCTCACCCCCCTTCCCTACCCTTTCCGTAACCCCTCCTCCGCTTCCCTCCTTCCCTCCCTCTTGCCCCCACCTCTCCCTCTCCCCTATGCGTGCCTCCCTTTTTTCTCCTCCCCCGCATCCGCCCCCTCCCCCTCCCCGCTCCCCCGCCTTCCCCCTGTGTTCCCCCCACAGCAGGCGCGGCTGGTGGGGAGGGAGTGGGTGGGGGTGGTGGAGAAGGCGGATGTGCGGCTGGAGGAGTTCATGGTGCAGCACGACATGGAGAACTGCTACATGTGGGCCTTCCCTCACCCGCCTCTGCCTCTCCCTCTGCCTCTCACTCTCCCTCTCCCTCTGCCTCTCACTCTGCCTCTCCCTCTCCCTCTGCCTCTCCCTCTCCCCCCTGCCTTCCCCCGCTTAGTCCTCTCCTCCCCCCCTCCCCCCCCCCCCCCCCTCTCTCCCCCTCTCTTCCCCCCGGCACCATCCCCCACGGCAGGCGCGGCTGGTGGGGAGGGAGTGGGTGGGGGCGGTGGAGAAGGCGGACCTGCGGCTGGAGGAGTTCATGGTGCAGCACGACATGGAGAACTGCTACATGTGGGCCTTCCGCGTGCGCCCGCACAACGCCCTGGGCAAGATGCAGCTGCGCTCCTACATGAACGGCCACTCCAGGTGGGGGACAGTGGGGGGCACTTGGGTGCCGTGTGGGGCACCAGAGGCAATTGTGGTGTAAATTGTGAGGGTCTGGTTCTGCGGAGCAACGCTCTCGCTAAGATGCAGTGACGGTCTTACATGAACGGCCACTCCAGGTGGGATGTGGCCGGGGTGCAGTGTGTGTTGGTTGGAGGGTTACAGGCCGGGCTGCTCAAGATGCTCGAGAAGACCATTAGAAGAGAAGGGAGGAGCAGGTTAAATGTGTGTTTCGTTACAATGCTCACTCACTCTCTTCCCGTCACCGTTGCCCTCCACCTCGCCCTCCACCTCGCCCTCCACCTCGCCCTCCACCTCGCTCTCCACCTCGCCCTCCACCTCGCCCTCCACCTCGCTCTCCACCTCGCCCTCCACCTCGCCCTCCACCTCGCTCTCCACCTCGCCCTCCACCTCGCCCTCCACCTCGCTCTCCACCTCGCCCTCCCTTTTCCCCCCTTCCTCACCCTCCCTAGTACTCTCCCAAAGCTCTGTTGGGCCGATTCAGCTTCTCATGAGTGCAAAAAAACCTTTTCATTTGCTCGCACACCTGCTTAGCGGATCGAACCCCAACAGCCCACAGCTTCTTCTTCCCTCCCACCGCCTCACTCTCTCCCCTCTTTATTCACCCTTCCCGTTTCAACCCCCTTCCCCCACACCTCCGTTCTCCCGCCCACACCCCCCCCCCCCCCCCCCCCCCCCCAACTCCCCCACCAGGTTCGGAGAGCCGCAGTTCCCATTCAGTGCGGAGAAGGGATTTGTGCGGTCGCACCGCATGCAGCGCAAGCGCTACAAGGGGCTCTCCAACCCACAGTGCATCCACGGCGTGCAGTTCCTGCGCACTCCTGACCTCTCCTGCGTGCCCCCGCATGAACGCCAGCGCTGGATCGACCTCACAGGTGTGTGCTTTCTCGCTCACCACCTGGAGGGTGTTTTAGTTGACTGGAAAATAAGTTCCTGCGCATGCTTGACCTCTCCTGCGTGCCCCCGCATGAACGCCAGCGCTGGATCGACCTCACAGGTGCGTGCTTTCTGTAGCTGGATTGACCCAGAGGGGGGTGATTGGGGGTGGGGTGGGGTATGTGCTGTAGCTCTCTCAGTGCTGCAGCTCTTTTAAGTTGCCGGTTACATTTTTCGAGTTCAGGAAAACCTTTCAGATCTTTTAAGCGTTCTCTATGTGCCCAGCCTCCTCCACCGTCCTCCCTCCTCTCTCCCCTTCCTCCACCTCCTTCATCCCTACATACTCCTACCTCCTCCCTCCTCTCTCTTCCCTCTCCTTTCCCTTTTATCTCCTCTCTCGCCTCTCCCTTTCATCTCTCCTTCCTGTCCCTGCTCGCTCACCTCTCTCTGCCCTCACTCTCAGGCCGCGAGTGGGGCTTTGTGTTGACCAACGAAGCAGACGAGTTCAGCGACTGGCGCATATCCTCCCTCTCCTCTCCATTTCACGTCCGTTCTCTTCTCTCCCCTTCTCCCCCTCCTCTCCTGCCCACTCACCTTGCCTCTGCCCTTCTCTCAGGCCGCGAGTGGGGCTTTGTGTTGACCAACGAAGCGGACGAGTTCAGCGACTGGCGCATATCCTCCCTCTCCCAAGACACCACCACCGCCTCTGCTGCTGCCTCTGCTGGGGCTGCGGGCACCGCCTCTACTGCTGCGGCTGCTGCTGCTGCCTCAGGTGCAGCTACCACCTCTGCTATTTCAGCCCCGGAGCAAGAGGACTCGCAGTCGCACCAGTCTCTGTCTGACGTTAAGACGTCTGCTGGGACGGCGCTACTAGGAAAACGGTGGCATGAGCAGCAGCGGCGGCAGCAGCAGCAGCAGCAGCAGCAGCAGCAGCAGCAGCAGCAGCAGCAGCAGCAGCAGCAGAAGCAACAGCAGCGACAGCAAGAGCAACAGAAGCTGCAAGAACAGCAACAACATCAGCAGCAGCAACAACAGCGGCAACAGCAGCAGCAGTCCCTATTGTCCCATCCACCTCGCTCCAACGCTTCTCCTTCTTACCCCTCCACAAGCCTTCCTGTCCCTGTCTCAGGACCACCACCCTGGGCTTCTCATGGACCTGGAGAGGGGCGAGGAGGGGGCTGGGGCGGAGATGGCAGGGAGGCAGAGCTGTTACGAGGAGTGGAAAGGGGTGAAGCGCGGTTGGAGGAGAGGGGTCGGCGAGGGAGGGATGGGGACGGAGTGGCGTGTAGGGGTGCGGGGGCTGGTGTGTTTTCTGACGGCCCTCCAATGACCACGCTGAGCCTTGCAGATTCCGTGGGTGAGGGGAGGGAGGAGTGGAGAGGAGGAGGAGGGAGAGTGAGGGTGGACGAGGAAGAGGGGGGGCTTGGAGGGCGGTTGAGTAAGAGGATTCGTGGGGGAGTAGATGGGGAGATTAGGGCAGTGCGGGATGAAAGTGGGAGCAGCGGGGGAGGGAGAGGTGAGAGGGGGGAAGGAAGAGGAGGAGGTAGAGTAGTAGTAGTAGGAGGAGGAGGAGGAGGAGGAGTAGGAGGACGTAGAGGTGAAGGAGGAGGAGGAGGTAGAGGGGAAGGAGGGGGAGGAAGGGAAGGAGGAGGAGGAAGAGGAGCGGCAAGGGTGCAGGTGCAAGGGGGTGCAAAAGGGTTTGGGGACCTATTAGGCCTGGCGCATGGAGGGGGCGCAAGGGGCAGGGAGGACATGGAGGTGGAGGTATCAAAGGAGGGGTCGCCACAGGAGCAGTCGGAGGAGCAGATCGTGCAGCCGCCCTACTGGCTCTCCGAGTGCTACGGCGTGCTCACCCAGGTGCGACCTCCCCCAGGTGCGACCTCCCCCAGGTGCGACCTCCCCCAGGTGCAACTTCCCCCAGGTGCGACGTCCCCCATATGCGAGATCTCTCAGGTGCGGCCTTCCCCAGTTGCTACCTCACAGGAGTGAAGGCTATTTCTTACGCCCCCGCCCTCTGGGCAAGCTTACAGCCGCGCTCTCTTGTACCCTGCTTCTCTCTCCCCACTACAATCCCCCTCTTTCCCTCTCTCCTGTTTCCCCTCATTATTGTGATCTCCCTTGCCCCCCTCATCCCCATAATCCCTTGTGCCCCTGTCGTTCCTCCCTCTCCTCCCTCTCCTCCCCGTGCCCCAGGTGTCGGGCCCTGTGATTTGCACCAAGACACTCTACGAGGATGGCTTGTGAGTCAACTCAAGCCCCCCCCCTCCTTCCCCCTCCATCCCTCCCCCCCACTTCCCCCCTCGGGTGTCGGGCCCTGTGACATGCGCCAAGACACTCTATGAGGATGCTTTGTGAGTTACCTAAAAAGTCCACTCCTCCGTCCTCCCTCCACCCCTTCGCCCCACTTCCCCCCTCAGGTGTCGGGCCCTGTGACGTGTGCCAAGACACTCTATGAGGATGCCACGTCATTCCTGATCCTCGTCAGCCTGCCCTTTGCTGACCTGTCCAAGCTCCGGGTGACGTGGCGCAACTCCCTCTCGCATGGCATTGTCAAGGTGGGGAAGGAGGGGGGGGAGTGGGGGGAAAAGGCTAGGGTGAGTGGGAAGGATGGTTGTGTGTAGGAGGGGAAGAGGGTGAATGTGGTGTGCAGGCGTGCAAGCCTTCTCCGTTCAACCCTACAAATCTATTCACTCCCGCTGTGCAAGCCTTCTCCGTGCAGGTGTGCAGGATTTCTATCTCATTCTCTCTCTCGCTGAAACACATCTTGCGCCATCCCTCCCCCTTTCCCCTCCTCTCCCTTCCCCCTCCCCCCCTCCCTCCTCTCTCCCTTTCCCTTCAGGTGCAATGTGCCTCATCCATGCGCCAGCCTTCCCTAATCCGCTGGGACCGGGCCTTCCACCTCACAGACCCGCACCCCGAGCACTGCCCTCCAGGGGAGTTCGTGCGCGAGATAGTGCTCCCCTCCAGGATCCCCGACAGTGCAGACGTCAAGGCTTTCTTCTCAGATAGCGGAGGAGGTGTGGAGATTCTGGTGCCTAAGTTGGTGCCTGTGAGCCAGTACCACGAGAGGGAGGTGCGGGTGTTTCTGCCGCCTAAGGCCGCAAACTGATCCGATTTTTCAGTGGACGGAAGAATGATTTGATACCGGTAGCGGCCGAGGGGTGGATTGAGGCGAGGTGAGAGGGTGTTAGGCAGAGGAGCGAGGGAGGGGATGCGGAGAGAAGGGAGGAGTGGGGAGGATGGGGGGAGGGAGGTGGGCCGCGCCGACGAAGCTGGTGTGTGGAGTGGTTGTTGCTCCTGTGCGGTTTCCGCAGCATGGGGCATGCAGCAGTGTGTGTTGTGAGTGTAATTAAGACTTGCAGGGCTTCCATCATGCCACAAGCATGCACCTAACATAGCTGGCTATAGGTGCTGCCATTTTGACCCGTGATTGTGCACCTGCACCGCTGTGCTGGGGCGGGGTGGAGAGGAGATTGCCTGCCATACAGGAAGGAAAACAGTCTTCTTGAGACTGTTTTCAATTGCCTTGTTTAGTAGCCCAATTTTTGTCCCCACTGGCATTGGACTGTGCGGGAAGAAAATACGAAAGAAATTGAATTTAGTCACAGAAGTAAACAGCTTCTAGTGTTTAACATGCTGCTAAAATTTGCTTGCCATGCATCCTACATTACACACCCCACACTGCAGCTTCTGGAAAAGCCCCTAGCTTCTTGAGTAGGTCTTCATATGAAAGTGTGCTGCACTGGTAGCAGATTACGTGGTCTTCAGCCAACTAGAAACCACACGCTTGGGTAGCACTAAACCAGAGAGAGTCCCGCATGCTCCGCAGCACCTGTTACAATACCCTGTCAGTCAAGCAGTGTAGAAGTGGTTGCACTGCTTAGCTCCTACCTTATAATCCCTCTCCTCTCTCCACTCCACATGGAAACTCCCTGAGGCCTTGTGCAACCGCTGTGCAACACAGGGCATTGACCTTGACACACACTCTAAGTACCACCAGCCTGATCTGGGCCCTGCTAAGCGCCATTTGGCTCCATCCCCTGGTATTGCTTACACAAGTACCTAGTCTAAGGTTACGTTACATTAGCGGTCTGCTCTGCCTGCCATGCCCGCCCGCCCACGGCTTGCATCAAGGATCGCCATTGCATTTGCGGAGGTGTCTTCTGTGGGGCCCCCCGCCACGCGCCACTAAACCAAGTGTGTGTGCACATGTGAATACGTGCATGAGTTAGTGCGTGCATGCATGCATGGACATGTGAATGTTTTTTGAGAATTCTCAAAGGACATGTGACCTCTGCCCCAGTGCATGGAATGAAATCCACCCGGCACGAGTGTGTGTCACACGGCACCATGGGAGCCTGTTCCCCCTGTTCCCTTTCCCCTGCCCCTAGCTGGGCCCCCTCCATCTCGTCTCCTCCCTACAGCTCTCGTCGCCCTGTAACCCGCTGCCTTCCCCCATGGGTCCTCTCTCGGCCGGATCTGCCTGCTCTCCGCTGCCCCATCCTACCGCACACGCCTCCTCTGCCGCATCACCATGCCCCCTGCAGTGACTTTTGAGTCGACTCAAAAGTCACCCCGCATGCGCCTCCTGTGCCGCGTCACCATGCCCCCTGCACTCTCCCCACCAGCACTGGTGGGACTTGTCGGGCTGGTGTGCGTGCCAGCTCCCCCCTCCCATGCTGCTACCTTCTCTGCCTCTGCCTCACTTTGTGAGCTTCTCTCTCTCCCGCTCCCCCTTCCATCTCCCCTCCCTGCACCGCTCTCTGTCTCGCCTGCTGTAGACCCTGCTCCTGTTGACGCCCCTCCTGTGCTTCTCCCACTGCTGCTCGCCTTGCTCCTCCCGGATCGACACCCAGACAACCGACCCTCCCTCCCTTCCTCCTCCGCCTCCCCCCCCTCCCCTTCACCACCTCTGTTTGCTCCCGCCGCTTCTCCCTCTCTTAGTTTCTCTGTGTGGTTATTATGCTCAGCAGTCTTGGTGCCTGCAACCCCTGCAACCCCTGCACCCCCTGCACCCCCATTATCATCCACAGTTTCCCCTTCACAACATCCCCCGTCCGCTATCTCTATTCTTACCCCTGCTCCCCCTCTCCCCTCTCCCTTCTCCCCTCCCCTTCTCCCTACCACTCCCACTGAATTTTCTCGTTCCCCACTTCCACTCGCTTCTCTTCTTTCTCTCCTTTCCGCACCTCCCTTTCCTTTTGTCCCTCCCTCCACACCTTCTTGTTCCATCCTCCCACCCTTATCCTCTCCCTCCTCCCCCTCCTCCCCCTCCTCCCCCTCTTCCCACCCCTCCTCCCCACCAACCCCGCCCCTTCTCCCCCGCGTCACCCCTCGCCCCACCCTCCCTGCGCCTGCACGGGGCCCTGAGGGGAAGCTCTCGCGGCTGCTGTGGCTGCAGGAAGCGTGCATGCCTGCTGCCCCGCGGTCTGACAAGGGGAGAGGCCACGAGTCCTGGGGGAACGCTGCTGTCATCTCCTGTTGGTGGGTTCAGAAAGAGGGAGGAAGAGGGTGAGAGACAAGTGCGAGTGAGTGAGAGTGTGTGCATGTGCACGTGCTGCATGCCTGCAGCTTCCCGGTCTGATAGGAACAGTTGCCACGAGTCCTGGGGAATGCTGCTGGCATCTCCTGTTGGTGGAACGGGGTTGGAGGGAAAGGGAGATAGACAACTGAGAGTGAGTGAGTGATTGTGTGAATGAGTGAGTTGGTGATTGATTAAGTGAGTGCATATGGGGTACATAGAGTGAGAACACGAGAGGGGGTCTTGGGAAACCGAGGGATAGAAAGAGACCAAGAGAAAGGCAGACTTAGATAGGGGCTTGACAGAGGAAGGCAGGTCAGGGCAAAGACACCGCATGTAGCAGATAGACACATCCATGCAGGGAACAGGAGCAGATAGACACATCCATGCAGGGAACAGGAGCAGATAGACACACCCATGCAGGGAACAGGAGCAGATAGAAAGAACAGCAGCATGCAGCACAGACAGCAGCAGGGCAGCAATCGGCAACACACACACAGCACCCAGCTAGCCAGCCCCCCACACCCAACCAGCCCAACCCAGCACACACCCAGTCCCTCCACCCCACACACGCCCCTCACACATAGCAGGCTGACCTGGCAGAGGTGCGAGCGGAAGGAGAGCGCTGCGGTGAAGTGGTGCGAGTCGTGGGGGAAGGCCACAAAGGCATTGGCCAGCAGCTGTACCACGTCCCGGAAGAAGGCATGCCGGGACGGGTACTCGCCACTTAAAGCCCGCCTGCCGATGATACTTAGGTCGATGTGCTGCCGCACTATGGAAGTGTAGTCTGGGTGCTCCTGGGGGAGTGGGGTTGGGTGCAGGGTGGTTGAGTACGGTGAGAGCAGAACCCGGAGGGGTTTCGGAGTAACCGGAGGTGAGATGAGAGTGCACGAGGAAAAGAACCGGGGGGTTTCAAATAACCCATAGAGAAAGAGACGATGTGACAGGAATCCTTTGTTTAATACGTTTTGAGATTGTTCAGGGAGGGAGGAAGGGAGGAGGGGAGAATGGGTGCTTACTTTGGAGTGAGGAGGGCAAGAGAAGGTGGCGGCAAGGGGATGCGTGCACATGCCACGCCATGCCTGCACCACTGCACGCTGCTCCTCTGTCAAATGCTCATGCTCGCGCCCATGCTCATGCCCACGCGCATGGTCATCCTTGTTCTCATGCTCATGCGCTAGAGCATGTGCATCCGCATGCGCATCGTCGCTTGCAGTCGCAGCAGCGCCAGTAACAGCGGCTCTCCCTTTCTGCTGCGTGGCGTCCCCACCTGCACACGCATGCAACGAGGTGCCTTCTGTTTGCCCACCTCCATCCATCGGGCTCACACCGTTCCCCTCCACAACCACAGCAGCAACCGGAGAAGCAGCAGCAGTAGCAGTACCAGCAGCAGTAGCAGGAGCGTCATCAGCAGCAATAGCAGGGGAAGTTGCAGGCATGGCTTCTGTGTCAGCTAGAGCTCGTTCGCTACCAGCATGGCTAGTGTGCACTAGAGGTTGAGGCTGAGCATACACTCTCAAAGCACCTTCTTCCACCACAGGACTCGTTCCCGTTCCCATGCCCATCTCTTCACCATGCATAGGTTTCCCTGGCACGCCAGCAACAGTAGCAGCAACACCAGGATCAGACGCACTGAATGATGGCTTTTTGGCAGAGGAGCCCGAGCGTTTGAGTCTCTTGCGTGGGCTGGACGGCCCTTGCACCTCCTGCCTCTCAGCTCCTTGCAACACTTCCCTTCCCGCCGCTGCCCTCCCTACTGTTGACTTCCCCACCACTGCCCCCACCCCGCCCTCCCACCCACCACACTCCGCCCTCTCCCCCCATGCCTCCTGCAGTAGCCCTATACACGCCTCTGCTTCCCTTCCCTCCTCTCTCCGCTCCACAACCCTCCCATCCAACCCATCCTCCCTCTCCTCCCTCTTCTCCTTCTCCTTTCCCTCCTTCTCATGCTGTTGACTGCTCTCAAAGTGTTTCCCCAAGCTCGGTCTCCACTGCTGCTGCTCCACCACCCCCTCCTCCCCCACTCCCACGCCCCCATCACCCCCTTCCCCCTGCAATGTGCGAGGGGAGGATCGAACAGGGGGGGAATTACCAGCTGTTGCAGTGACTGCTGCTGAGCCTGTTGCTGCGGCAGCTGCTGCTGTGGCTGCTGCTGTGGTCGCAGCTGTGGCTGCTGTTTCCGAAGCAGCAAAGTGGGACTGGGCATCAGAACCAATACGCAACCCACCAACACCGGCACCAACACCAGCACCAGCACCAGCACCAGCACCAGCACCAGCACCAGCACCAGCACCAGCACCAGCACCAGCACCAGCACCAGGACCAGCAGCACCACTACCGCCATCACCAGCAGCAGCGTCCAATTCGCACACAGGCACACCCGCAAGAGACACAGGGCCTCGCTTCTTGTGCGGTGTGGACCCAGAGCCGCCCTTTCTCCGCCTGTACTGCACCCGCCCCACCGCCCCTTCCTTCACATTCTGCTCTGGTAGTACTGAGCACAAACCCCCTGCAAGCCCTACTGCTGCTGCTGCTGCTGCTGTTGCTGCTGTTTCTGCTGGTGGTGGTGATGCTGCTGCCACTGCTGCCACGGACCGTACCTCTTGCACTGCTTGCACTTCTTGCGCTGTTTGAGCATCTTCCACAACACACACCTCCTCGTTTGATTCCCCAACCCCTCCCGCGCTCACTCCCCTGCCAACTCCCCTCTCATCCCCGCTCCCCTCCCTTACCCCCTCACCCTCCTCCCTTCCCGCTACTCCCCTCTGCTCGTCTGTTCCCGCTGCATCTCTCACCGCTGCTTCCCCAACACCAGTCCCCTTCACCCTAGCAAAGGATTGTTTCGAACTCTCCACAGCCACTGCAGGACTTCCTTCCTGCGCGCTCACTCCCCCCTCCCCCACAGCTCCGTTCCCCTCCTCCACCTCGCCTCCACCCGCCACCGATCCCTCTTTACTCCCACCATGTATCACATCACCCTCGTTAGAACCATCCACATCTTCCCTCCCTTGTGTCACATCTCCGTTACATGCAAATGCAACCACTCGCAAATCCCTTCTCGCCTCTCCACCCTCTGGCACTGCGTCCTGTTGCTGCTTCCTACACTCCGCTGCTGCCTCCTTCCTCCCCCATCCCTCTTTCTCTTTCGCCCCCGGACCTTCGCACACATCTCTCTCCTCCCTTGCTCCCCCACTACCACTGCGGGTCTGCTGCTCTCCTCCTCCTCCTCCTCCTCCTCCTCCTCCTCCTCCTCCTCCTCCTCCTCCTCCTCCTCCTCCTCCTCCTCCTCCTCCTCCTCCTCCTCCTCCTCCTCCTCCTCCTCCTCCTCCTCCTCCTCCACCCCCCTCCACTCCCATCACCTCCCACGGCCCACCGTCTCTTTCATCCCTTTCCCCTACCACCGCAACCCCCTCCCCGACCACCGCAACCCTAGCTCCTCCCGTACCCCCCTCCGCCCTTCCACTTGCACCCCCAGCGTCACCCCTACCAATGCCCTCAGAAGAGCCTGCATGCACATGGCTTAGCTTGTCTTCGAATCCCCTTTTCCTCAATCCACCTTCTCCCATTCTTTTCAAAAGACCTCCTCCCCCTCCTTCTTCCCCTTCACCTTCCCTTCCTCCTTCCCCTCCACCTCCTCCGCCCTCCCCCTCTCCTTCTTCTCCCCCACCTCCCCTCTCCCCCTTCCCTCTCCCGCTACCACCAGCCATGGCATTCCCTGAAAGCTCCCCACCCGCCATAGCCCTCCCAAATCCTCCTCCCCAGTCGCCCTCCCTCTCACCCTTCCCTTCCCTACATACTGACGCTCCTTCCTCCTCCCCATCCCCATCTCTCGCCCCACCATCACCTGCACACTCCCCACCAGCAACCCTCATTCCAGCCTCCTCCTCTCCCTCTCGCCTCCTCCCTCTCTCTCCCACCACCTTCTCTCTCCCCTCCTCTCCGTCTCTGCCCAACCCCTCCCCCATCTCATCCGCACCTCTTCTCTCCATCCATCCTCCCCTCCTCTCTCTATCCCCCTCCCTGCCTGTTTCCCCTCCATGCTCCTCATGATCGGAGACCCTATGACTGCGCTCTAGGGGCACAGCCCCATCAGAATTCTCTGCCCTTGCTGGCCCCTCTGCATGCCCTTGCCTTCGCTCCAGCGCACTCTTCCCCCTACCCCGCTCACCCGCATCATCGACTTCCCCCTCGCCTTCTTTTTCGCCCACACCCTCCCTTAACACCGATTTACCCCCCTGCTCCACCGGCTCCTGTCTCTTCCCCTGCCGCGCCTGCTCCTGCCTTTGCTGCTCCTGCCTCTGTCCCTGCCGCTCCTGCTCTTTTTCCTCCCTGCTCGCGCCCTTCCCCGCGTCCTCCTCTCCTCCCACACGCCTCTTCTTCTCTCTGCCCTGCGTCCATCGCTGCAGCCTCTTCACAACTGCTGTCCTTACCCATTCTTCCACCATCTCTCCTCTATCCCCATCATGCGCCCTTGCTCCTCTAACCTGTCTCTGTCCCTGCCCCTTTCCCTCTCCCTCTCTCTCTCCCCCCCCTTCCCCCTCACCCTCCTGCCCCTTCTCTCTCCTTCCTCCTCCATCCTCCTCTGCCCGTACCCCTTCGTTTTCTTCTACCCCTGCTGCTTCTTCTCCTGAGCGCCCTCCTGTGCATGGCAACAAGAACCCCACTACACGGCCTTCGTTTGTGTCACAACCTTTCAATCTCTTGGCTCTGCTGTTGCCCTGTGAACCGGCATAGGTAATGTCTTGCGAACCAGAAACAGCAGCCGCCGCGGCAGTGTTAGCAGCAGCAGCGGCGGCGGCGGCGGCAGCGGGGGCGGGGCAAGGTGCAGGGGCCAACCCTTTGCCTGGAGCGTTCTTGGCGGCCCGTGAAATCCCTTCCGAAACTCTGGCATACACTTGCGAGCACTCCTGCAGTGAGGGGCGAGGGAGTGGCGGACGGGTGCCGGGGGGAAAGAGAAGAGGATGCGGTTGCTTTGACAGCGTGCGGGGGAAGGGAGAAAGGAGGACATGGAATGCCGTCAGTGGTGACAGCTGGAGCAGCAGGAGCAACAGGAGAAGCATGAGCAGCACGAGCAGCACGCGCAGCACGAGTAGCAACGGCAGCGTAACTCCCAGGCCAGAAGAAAGATGAGAGAATAGCAAGACGGGAAGACAGCGGTGAGCACATGCGGATCCGACGAACCTGCGCAGTGTGCGGGCGATCCAACGACCGCCGTGACACAAACGCCGACCGCTTCTGCATCTCCGTCGCCACTACCGCCCAGCCGTCACCGCCCCGGCTTACGAACCCATCTGAATCGCTGTTGCCGGCTATCGCTCCGGCCCCTGCGCTAACAGGTACGGTTGGAGAGGAGTTGGGAAGAGGTTTGTCAGAAAGGCCTAGATTCGCCACGCATCGGAAGAGGAGAAGGATCTCTAGTGGATTCCACGAGATTTCTGGGGCTTCCATCCGTGTGGTGGGCTTCTCTAGTGACAATGCTGTCAGACTCGGAAGCAAGGCCGGAAACCCTAATTTCAACGGGAACCCTAATTTGCGTGCCTGTCACTCCTGTATTCTCTTTTCAAAATCATCGCAAAATATTCTTGGACGCTGTGGTCTATTTTCACTAATATTGACCCGAAAATGACGGAGACCCGCGCGGGGGCAGCCATGGGCGTGTGGGATACGAACAAGACGAGTCGGGAGACCATGATGGATTGATGTGATGATTTGAGTGGAATGCGCGGAAATGGAACATCGGAGGTGAGAGGTCAAAACGAATTTGCCAACAGTTATCGGGGAACGAGAGTAGTTCAAAATGTAGCGAAGTTGCCTGTGACGAGGATATCGAAGTTGGCACACCCTTTCTTGGGGAATGTTGCCAAGCGTTGTTGATGCGAGAGCTTGGATGCGCTTTTTCCTGGAAACGCTGTCGCATACGTGACAGCTTCGTTCGCATGGATCGCGGACGACCATCAGCCAGCGTCACATTACGTTCTTGCGGGTACGGCATGGTGCTGTAAGTTCCAAAACGTTCCAGAAACTCCCTGACTTCGACACTGAAGCTTTTGAAGAGGTACACCCAGCGCTGTGTGCGACGGTCGCGAGTGTTCGCGAAAGGTGCTTTTGTACCACGCCCTCCTTTAGATATGGTCAAAGTAACAGCATCGCGAAAAGTTGCATGTTTCGCGATTGACTGCTGCACGCCTCACGCACACCGCAAATAGTTCAGGACGCGTTGAAAGTGCAAATATCGCGGGATCGCGGGCATAAATCGAGCCCCACAATCGAGTGGGCAGATCGATTGGCGAAACATGAAGACCGATACGTTGTAACGATCTCACCTGAGCTTTGTGGTGGATGTTCCAGGGCCAAGACTACTAAACTGCATGCGACTCGCACCCAAAACATATACGTCGTCCATACCCACCTGCGACACTCGCAGCCAACAGGGCAACCACCCTGGCGACGTGATGTTTACAGATTTCGCCAAATGTGGACAATTTGGGTTTAGGCGATTCCTGGCTCTGCGAAATTTCAGAAAGTCGCAGGCATCAGAATCAATTGCGCCAGGTAGGCTCGGTTAGAGAGCATCAATGACGCTTTGATGCCTCTCACTGATCTCCCGCGATCAATGATCAGTCGCATTCACACACTGTGCACAGATTTTGGCAAAAAACCGCACTGTAGCAAAGTTACAGCACAGTAAATAGGGTTACACATCCGCACAATCCTTGCCACCCACGATCGATCGTCTACTTTCAACGCGTCCTTATTCATATGTTCCAGTCATTTCCTACTGTTACGGGTGCAATGAATCGAGGTAGCGAGAATTGCACTAAGGTGTCAAACGAGTACAAAATGTGAGCGAAGGCATGAGCGAACATTTATACGCGAAACATGCAAAACGGTAACGCGGTGCGTGCGAGCTTGCTAGTGCTACGCTGGAGCGAGGCTCGGGCTAGTCCCGAAGCGTAGGCCGATACGGCCATGCCAGCAGTGCGAGGTTTGGTAAAACAGTGCGCGCGAAGTCGGCGAAGTTCCGTTAGCAGTAACGGGCGAACAATCGGCTGTTGCTGTACGCGATGTAGTCGGCTCCGTAAGGAATGCCGAGAAAATTCCTTACACTACCCCCCCCCTCAAGAAGCCCCCTCCGCTACGCGAGTGCGTGTATATCGCGGAATCCCCGGCTCCTCAGGTACACTTGCAGGGCAGGGTGATTTTCGATGTTGCTCAGGGGCACCCAGCTATCTTCAGTTGGCGTGCGGTCTTTCCAGCGAACGAGGAATTCAATCCTCCTGATTCCCGTGGGGTGGCGGATCCGATGGCTCAGAATTTTTTCGGGCTCGATCATCGGTTCTGATGCAGGGCGAGTCATTGATTGTGGCCGGTGACGCGGCAGTTGACTTGTGGTCGGGATGTATGGGCGAAGTAGGCTGACGTGGAACGAAGGGCTGATGTACCAGTCGATTGGCAACAGTAGGTGTGCGGTGACGGGTGTGATCATGTGACTGATTTGGAATGGTCCACAGTAGCGTGGTCGTAATTTTGGTACGTCGGGCAGTCGCTGATTTTGCGTGTCGAGTAGCACGTAATCTCCAGATTGATACGTGACGGGGCGGCGGTGGCGATCAGCGTTGCGCTTAGCGATGACGTTGGCCTTTTTTATTGCTTCGGCGGCTCTGGCGCGGGCAGCTTGCAGGATTTCGGCGAATTGTTGTGCGCGTGGCGTTGGGTTGTCCGGACTCGGCGTCATGGGCACTGTGGGGTTCTGCCCATAGTTCAGGTAGAACGGGGACTGCTGCGTCGTGGCTGATGTGGCGTTGTTGTACGCGAACTCGATCAGCGGCAGCTGCTGCTCCCAGGTCGTGGGGTCGTCGCACGTGGCACGAATCAACTGCTCCATCGTCTGATTCGTCCGCTCCGTTTGGCCGTCGGTCTCGGGGTGGTACGACGAACTGAACTGTAGCCTGGTCCCGAACTGCTCCCAGAGGTTCTTCCAGAAGTTGCTGGTAAATTTCGTGTCCCTGTCGCTGATAATTGCTGCTGGTATCCCGTGCAGGCGAACAACGGCTGCGATGAACAGGCGAGCGGTCTCCTCGGCTGAGATCGACTTTTTGCACGCAGCGAAGTGTGCCATCTTCGTCAGCCTATCCACGACGACCATTACCGCGTCGTTACCCCCAGGGTTCGAAGGTAACCCTGTGACGAAGTCCATGGTTACTTGCTGCCAGGCGCGTTCGGGCGGTGGGATCGGCTGCAATTGACCCGCCTTCCGCTTCCTTGAACTCTTCATCACCTGACACGTCGGGCACGAGCCCACGTGCTGCTGTACGTCGGTCAACAGCTCCGGCCAGTAATAGTACCGCTGCAGTTGCTGTCGCGTTTTTTCTACCCCGAAATGTCCCGAGGTAATCCCGTCGTGTGCCTCCTGTAGTAGCAGCTCCCTCAGTAGTGAGTACGCGGGTACCCAAATGCGGTTGGTGCCTGCTTTTACGTAATAGACTCCTTTTGCTTCTGCCAGTTGCTGTGAATTTCCGGTCGTGAAAAATGGGTCGGTGCGGTATCCGTGGGTGAATAGGCCAGTTAAAAGCGGGTTGGTCTGGGCGAGTAGGATGGCATGGAGTTGGGCGGTGGGGCGGGTGAGAGCGTCGGCGATGTTGGATGCACCCTTTTTGTACGTAACGGTGTAGTGAAAATTGGACTCGAGATAGTCCAACCAGCGAATCTGTCGTGGGTTGAGATTCGGTTGGGCGCGAAGATACTGTAGCGAGCGGTGGTCTGTCCGTACTGTCACGTCGGCGCCAGTCAGGTAACATCGCCAAACTTTGAACGCGTGCACGATCGCTAGCATCTCGCGGTCGTGTGTCGGGTAGTTACGTTCGGGCGGGTGTAACTTGCGGGACTCGTACGCGATTGGCTGGAGGCCGTTCCCGAAATCCTGCAACAGTACTGCTCCCACAGCGATGTCACTTGCGTCGATGACGAGCTCGAACGGACGGTGGGGATCTGCAATGTGAAGGACGGGCGGGGAGCACAAAATATTTTTGAGGGCCGAGAAGGCAGCTTGCTCTTTCTCCCCCCACGTGTACTCAACCCCCTTCCTCAGCAGGTCAGTCAACGGGGCAGTCAGCTTCGCCATGTCGGGGACGAACCGGCGCACGTAGTTGACGAACCCCAGGAAACTCTGCAACTCGGTCAAGTTGGTCGGCGCGTGCCAAGCCTGAATCGTCGCAATTTTCTTCGGGTCTATTTCCACTCCTGCAGCTGAAATAACATGTCCCAAAAACTCCAGGCAGTCCTGTAAAAACTCACACTTAGATGCTTTGGTCAGTAGGCGGTTCGCACTCAGGATTTTAAAAACTGCTTCGATGTCTTGTAAGTGTTGTGCTCTGTCAGGGCTGTAAATCAGTATGTCGTCCAGATAAACGATGACGCACTTATCTAAAAGCGGGCGGAATGCTTCGTTCATGGTCATTTGGAAAGTGGCGGGGGCGTTGGTCAGTCCGAATGGCATGACGGTGTATTCGAAGGATCCGTAGCGTGTTCGGAATGCGGTTTTAGGGCAGTCGGGTGGGTTGACGCGGATTTGGTGGTAGCCTCCTCGGAGGTCGATTTTCGAGAAAACCCGGGCTGTGCGCAGTTGGTCGATCAGTTCGTCGGCTCGTGGGATGGGGTAACGGGATTTGATGGTACCTTAGTTCGTCTAGTTCGGGTTGGGTCAGTCGGAACTGTCGCTGTACTGTTGGCTGTGCCCCCGGTTCCAGTTCTATCCTGTGATTGTGCGGTCGCTGAGGTGGCAGTCCCGTCGGTAAGTCATCCGGGAAAATGTCACTGTACTGTTTTAACAGTGCCACCAGGTCACTCGGTACGTCGGTCAGCAGTTTCTGTAAATCGCCCCCCTTGTCTGCTGCCTCGGCTTCCCGAATGTCAACCGCGTACACGTCAGCTCCGGCCGCAACAGCGCGTTTCATCGTGATCGCGTTGACACGCACCGACGAAGACTCAGGCGAGCCCCAGCGAGGTAAGGCGATGTTGTTACCGTTTACTCGCACAGTGCAGTCACCCGTCGTCCAGTCAATTCGCGGATTGTGTCGTCGCAGCCAATCACGCCCGAGTAAAATGTCGGTTCCGTCGAGGGTCGTTGCGAGCATTTCCTGGCTAAACGTGAAGTTACCCCCGCATCGAATCCGAACTCGGTCTACGCGTTCCCGTATTGCCAGCGGCGTGCCGTCTACCAGTCGTGCGTCGATCTCAGGTAAGCATCGGTCCAGTGGCAGTCGCAGTTTGCGTGCTGTAGCAGTGTTAATGAGGCTGTGGCTGGCTCCCCCGTCTACGAAGATTTTAACTAAGTCCGTCCCAATTTTCCCACTGAGCAGTATAGGGCTATCTACCGTGGTACCCTCCTTATTCGGCCGGGTGTGGTCGATTGCGTGAACCGGCACAATCACTCGGTGAGGGTCGGTTGG